AATATCTGTAATCATTTTAGTTATTTTACTACTGGGTGCATTGAGAGATGATATTATGGGTTCAAGAGAAATAGTTGGTTTGTGAATTTTAGGAAGACCATAATATTTTGTGCATTGTGAATTGTTTATATTGAATGACTTTGCCTCTTCTTCATTCAACATTTTCAATGACTTCAAGTTACAGATGAGTTTATTAGATTTTTATTGGGTAGTTGAAGTTGGATCTCTATGTAAAATTTTGTATGTATTACCATTACAGTAACATTTCCTTTGTCAGATTTAGTTATGATGAGTTGAGGATGATTTTTGAAAAATTGTTTGGTTTTATTGAATATTTTGTCTAAAAAATTATGATTATTTTTGTTATTTTGAAAATGGTTGGTTATTAAATTTGTGATTTGAGCTCTAAATAGATTATTATTTCTATTGGTTGTATCACATATCAATGCTTATACATCAGATAATAATTTTGGTATAGAAATATCATTTGTGTTAGGTTATATACTGAATTTTGATCCCAATGCTAATAGAGAGAAAACGTCATCTGGTATTTCCGAATTTGATAAGTTTTTCATCTAATTATCTTTGATTTTTATTGAATTAAATTTTTTTGATTTCAAATTTTCTAATTTATTGATATTTTTCTAGTGCCAGATGATGACAGTACTACCAACTGTCGAAAGCGCTCGCAGATAATTAATAGAAGATATAAAGTTTCAAATCCTTTAACGTTTAATTTCTTATAAAGAGCATTTCGTAAAAAAATCGCTCGGATCCGTCATTTTTTTACGTATTATCAATCTTTTTACATTCATCCAACCCTCAAATCACAAAACGTATCAGGGGTTAGGCGATGCCTCATTTAAAATATTATCAATTTCTTTATCAATCACTATCTACTTCTTGGAATCCGAAGCAATCGACATCGAGAAAATAATGCGTTTTGAAATTAATTATAAGTTAATATTTTCCACTTTTTGGTATTCGATGCAATCAACATTGGCAAAAATGTTTTGAGATTAAAAATCAGTTGACGCGAAGAAAGTTTAGCTTCCATCAAGTTTTTGACCTCACAAAGAAGGGATAAAAAGATCTGAAACTCCCTCAGTACAACACTTACTGAAGTTTTACTTCAACATGTGTTCAAAATGTTGGCCTGCTGCTTCCATATACTGATGAAGGTTTTGTTCAAAGCGCTTACGGGTATTTTGAAGCATTTTAGGTGTGATATTGCATCAGTTCTCAATAACTGACATTGGTTTAGTTTCATAGATTGTTGTTTCTAGGTGATCCTACAAAAAAGCAGATTCAAATCTGGTGATATTGTGGGCCACTCCACTGATCCTCTTTGGCCGATCCATCTACTGGAAAAGGGTTCATTCGAATACTCCTGAACACCAAGAAAATGAGGAGGTAACCCTTTCTTGTTGAAATGTTAATTAATTTGCATTGGAGTGGTTATTTGATTAGAGAATGTATGTTATGCCGGATCGACAGTGTCTTCTAACAATCACACGTATATTTTCCTCTCGTATGCTATAAATTCTAGCTCATGCATTTAACTTCGGATGGCATAAAACGATGACATGAAACGAACACTCATCTGAGAAATGAATGTACAACAATCAATTAGTATTATTTAATATCCGTTCACTCATTCACTTGCAAAATTTCAACGTCTTGATTCAATTGGTGCACAAATTCATGGGATTACAAAATTATTTGATACTCATGCCAGATAAATGGAATTCTGGATACCTTTGAAGAAGGATCGATAGAAACTGCGTTTGGTTTTAAATAGCAAGTAACACACGAATGTTTTCGTTATCAGTTTTCAATGGCAACATAAAAAATTAATTTGTTGATTTATTTTGCGATGATGGTGGAACTTATATTGAAAACAGTTTTATTGATATTTTTGATTAATTTGAGATCTTTAGTAATATATTTCAATAACCCGCTAAGATAACTACATGAGATATTATTTCCGTACGGCCACAGAAGTTCAATAACTTTTGAAACCAATGAAAAACTACCATTCATTTTAGCTGGGTATTTCAATGTAATATTCGCAAAACATGGATCAATGTCATCGACTACGTTTCTCTAAGAAGAATTTCAATAGCAAATCAACAACAATCCAAGAGAACCTGCTACCCGATATGAAACAACAATAGTTGCTGTATTTATTAGATATGTTGATAATATTATATCCAGTACTTTCGTAACATGCTTCAGTTATCATCGACCAATTTTCACAGTAATACCGTCAGAGGCAATATCGAATATAACTATTAATGAAGTCACTGATTGGAAGAATTGGGTAGTCATAATTTGAAATGAATATTTGAATTTTTCATTTTTGTATTTAATGAAAATAAATGATCATTGAATAAACAATCATCATTTTTTGGAAAAATCCATAATATTTCATTTTTACACTATGCCATATTAGTTACTGTCGTAATCTGTTTCTATATGCATATTACTCGTACAAAATAATTTGGATGTTTCACAGCTACCAGGCGTCCCGTGACGGATCACAATGTTTTTCTCAATATGCAAATATCAGTGTTATTACTCCAGAAAAAAATCGTTTGAAATTTCTATTGCGGTTCATCGGAATATCATTTCAAGGGTGTTCATATTATCTTGACATCATATCTTCTTTCATTTTATTGATCTCCATTATGTTTATATTATATACCCTGGACAACTTCACGTAAATAAAATAAGCCTATTGATATATTTGGATCTTTTCCTTTTTCAGAATATCATCCATTACATAAGATAATTTGTCTAACTGTTTTCCTTATTTTAAATATATCTGTTACTACAAAAATTATTTCTCCAATTTTCGAAGTATTTTTCTGATATACTCATTATCGTCATGGGATAGTATCAATGCTGGTTTTCTCACTCTCTGATATAATTTGTTTGTCATTCTGTGAGAGTTGTTTGGTACTGTTTTTTCTTTCGAACTGTTAAGATCTGTTGAAATTCAATAGCTAATTTTTTCTCACAATTATGTCTCGCCTTATAGGTCTATACCCTACTCATATTTCAATGGTTTCCATCCAAATTTGGAAGTTTTATCTATTAACTCGCAACACCGTCTAACTCCAAACAAGCTATCGAAAATGCCTTGTATTCGTGGGCACCCAGTTTTGGACCTTCATTCCACCATTATGAAGTCACAATAATATTTGAAAGACCTTCAGGGGACACATGAATACCAGAGCATTTGTATAACCAATTGCTATCGGCAACCTCTCTCAATGAAGGTTTAGCGTGGAATGTTCCGACACTAAATCGAGTACGCTACATTGTCGGAAAAGCACGGCCTTTATCTGCAAGTACGTTCGTGGGATCCTTGTTGAGACTGAATGCTTCGATGCGACCGTCTGCTCTTCGAGGCATATGAGTGTAAAATTACAGCCACTGGACGAATGGTAGAACGGTGTGAAATCGCAGGGTTTCAGGGTTTCACGACCTTGACGTAACTCATGGGCATGTGACGTCGCATGAAGCTCAAGGTCAAGTTATAGGCGGAGGGTGGAAACTCCGTTTCCACCTTGACCCTATTGTGGTTGGCAATAGGGGGACAGTGGTGGAGGATAGGAAGCGGCATTAGCACCCTACTAATGGTAGCGATATGTCTTTCAGTGAAGACGAAAATAAAAGCGGTATGTTTTTGGAAGTGCTTCGAAAACTAAATTATGCCTTACCCAAGATGAAAAAACAATCAATACTGTCACGAATGATTATCATTTTTTCGCAAAATTGTTTTTTTTCACTCACTTACACGTTTCAATAGAGCCACCTATAGAACGTTTACAAGAACATAAAAGACAATCGTTTCATAATGGATATTATGAATAGGAGTAATACTCCAGTCTTCCGAGTGAACCCTACATTTTTTAATTGTCGAGATAGACCCTTCAATTAACTAGATTTAGCAAATACTAACCATAATTTTTCTGTACAACAGTCGCACCTCGACTATAGGAAACACCGATTGAACAACCCATTTGAGGTCGTACTCGTGAGGGTTTGAATACTGCCCACTTATTATTTTAGCTGGTCCAGGCTTTCCGGATAACTCTATGTACCGCTTATCCCTTCCTATGGAGTTAGACACCGAACAGCTGTAGTTTCCAAAATCCGATACTTGAACGTTCCTAATTGTCAGCGTGTGGGTGTTTCCAACTTTGGTCATGAGGCGTCTGTCTGTTGGTAGCAGCACGAAAGAATCTTGGAACCAGGTTACCTGAAACGATATATAGAAATATTATTCATTGAGATTCCAACTGCAGAGGTGCTAAACGAAAACGTTCATTCCAATTTTACAGAAAGAGGAACAAGATTGCCAGGTACGTAGGATAAAACCACCAAGTAGGTAAATCGTTTTCGGATATATTCTATATGATAAATCAAGCAGAAAGGGAAAGAGTTGTCAAAGTACACTGAACTAATGATTCAAACCTGAGTGAAGAAATCAGGAAGAAATTTGTACATATAATTTTGGATTTTGAATGATGTTCACAACTGAAAAATATTGCAAACGGAATGTTTATAGATAATACAATTACCTATAGCCTGATGACATAATGTGGTGCACCAGATAACTGATACCAAATATATCAAAAGTGTGCTAGTTATGGATAATGCTTCTTACCATAGTCGACAATCGTCATGAGTTCCTAGTGTTTCAATCACGAAAACGAAGATGTACAACTTCTCGTTGGCCAATGGTCTATTTTACAAGAAAAAACAGCAATGTGAAATGTAACATTTGTGATAAATCAGCTACTGAAATAGGGCATGTGGAATTAAGATTTCCCCCATATCATTTTATTTTCATTACATTTGAGTTCTTCTTGCTTGAACTAACGGGTAGAGTAATGTATCCAAAATTCACTCTAATTTATTCCAATAAATGTTTTGAATGTTTACCATCGACTTCATAATAATGAAGTCTATTCACAATTTTTTTTCTCACAATATTAAGTCTTCCCTGGGTAATTTCGTTGAAAGCAACTCTTTTTCTATCTTCGAGTTTTGAAATGAACTAGGATTGTATGTCGTGAACTCTAAATGTCATGTATTCCCTCAAAAATATCTAGAGGCATCATAGCAGGGGATCTACTGGGCCATTCTGAGGTACCACTTCTACTTATGTACCGGTTTTACTAATGGACAAAACCAAATGAGTTTTCAACCGATGCTATGATTCAGCCAGTTGAGTTATCGTGTCATTACGAAGGCTAGTTTGAGAGTATCTGGACAATTATCCAATCCGGTCTTTAGACAAACGTGATCCCTTCGAAAAGCCCGCTAGATTACCTGATATGACGCCTCCAGATGTTTTTGGAGGGATGCATAACATCTGAAGTGTACCATTTCAGAACCCGTGGGTAGAACAATAGATGATGTACCTTTCATTGAGTTTTTTCACCATCCAGAATATGAAAAAATATAAAAATTGTAGTGGAGAACTTTATTACCTACTGTGTGAATTCAAAGTATTTCTCACAGAAAACTACTCTATTCATCAGTAATCGTATCCAATAATTCAACCTATCAAAAAAAGAGTTCAGAAATTAAACAGATACTTATTCAACGTAACGTTTCGGTGGCTAAAATCTGCCTCGTATCCAGTATTAGGAAGAAATCTAATGAATCTTGCTATTTTTTGGTTCGTTCAATTTTTAAAACTGTCTCGGCTTTTCTTCGGTTCTAGAGTGCGCTTACTATGGGCTCTCAGAATGAATACTGTATTGCAATGCGATGAATAAAAACGTGTTCCATACGTTCATCAGTTATAAATAGCAAAAATAGCAATGACGTTTCCGATTACGCCGATTTATGTCTGAATGAGTAAAAGTATTGTGTTCTTCATCTTGCTTTCAATAACCCAGAAATCAATATTTTATTAACAGCGTTTTACTGAAACCCGTAAAGCAACAAAAAGAACTTAGTGTTATAGAGTCTTTAGATTGGGTGATACGCTATCTCATAGGAAGGGCTCAACGGTTTGTACTGGGTAATGATTAATTACGCTTATCGCTTCAGGAAACTTCTTCTGGTGAACCACAAGGTAGCATTCTAGGTCCATTGATGTTCTCTCTTTTCATTTTTGACTTTCCTGCCACGTTATCCCAGTGCGACGTACATTTATAATATTTAACGTGCTATCACCAGGATGAACTTAGATTTAGAAAATACACTTCTATTTTCCAAAAATCATGGCCTTTGAATAAATCCAAATGAAACAGTAGCCCTATGTTTGGTATGTGTTCTACAAAGAAATGAAGTTGAAAGAAATTTCCATCTTTTTCTTGACAATCAACCGATTGATTGGGTGAATTCAGCAAAAAATTTAGGTGTATATATGGATAACACTCTCTCGTTCAACGAGCACGTTAAACACATTTACAAAACTTGCTTTTTTGAACTGAAATCCCTATACAAGTTCAAGTTCCAGCTTTCTTAAGAAACAAATCTGAAATTAGTTCGTATTCCAAAAACACTTTATTGTGAGATTTTCACTAAATTGTTTTACAAAAACGCAACACGTGTTTTGCCATACAATGGCTTCATCTGGCGTGAAAGACACGTCAATTCAGCTATTCATTTCAATTTTATTGATTCTTTCAGAGATTTTAATTCATTTTACATCATATTAGACAATGGAAGTCCGAACTAATTAAATTCACCATGAAACATAACCTTCAATATTCAAACAAACCAAAGGCGTATCACCAAGGTGTCCCTCCAACACTACTCAGTGAATTTAGACTTTTTGGTATGGAGTCAAATAGTGGGAGGAAGATTCTTAAGACTGTGTCGCCAATATTTTCTGTGCAATCGTGTTTTCCTGCCTGGGCATATAGTTTGCGCTTCTTCGATAACATTGGAGACCTTGGCTTATCAAAGCGCCTGACTTTTGCTTTCCTCAGGTCGAGTTGCCTGAAGTCGGAAACTAAGGGTTCATCATGGCTTGCCAGAATGGTGTCTTCAACACCTTAGTCTATGGTAGTCGCGTGATGGGTATAGAGGTTCCTGACACAAGGTGCAGGACCTGCCGCGAGGCGTCCGAGACCCTAATGCACTTGCTATCATGTCCAGCATATGCGGTCTCGGCCTATATCCATCGACATAATGCGGCTCTAAGAGTGCTATATTACCATCTACGACACTCTTACTGTATTGACGGGACACCGGTATTACCCTACGCTCCGGGAGATATTGAAACCGTTGTGAGGAACGAGAAGTACCGAATTTATTGGAACTATTCGTTCCCCGCCCTCAAGCTCATACAAGCTAATAAGCCTGATGTAGTCCTTCTCGACCACCAGAGCAAAACGATATTTGTCGTGGAGTTTTCATCTCCTGACGAGACGAATATCGTCCGAAAAGAGGAGGAAAAACGGATAAAATATCGAGATTTTCTCTTCGAACTCCGCAGACTTTATCCAGACCACTCTGTCAAGATGGTTGTTCTGATTATTGGAGTCCTCGAATCTTAAAATCATACCGGCCTGCCGCACTGAGACAGAAATCTTAGTCGAACAGATGCAGAAGGCTCTCATTCTTGGATAACTGCGCTTGCTCTGGGCACATGATTCTCGGACTTACTCCACGGTGTGGGGAGTGGTCGTTGGTTGATAATGCTGGCGCGCCCTCCCCAATGTATCGGGGCTTCGGGAGATATGGCCTGACCAGCGCATACTTCGGTAAAAAAATAATAGATTCAAACAAAATTTAAAAAACGCTAAAGAAAATGACCTACCAAAAGGAAGAGTTAGCAGCGGTTGGCACCCGAAGAGGGGTGGGGCAAGCGCTTTTTTCCACTCAACCAACTGAATTAAATCATTATAGGGTGTGACAACTCAACCTATTGCAAGCAAACAAGCATAGAAGACTACAGCATACTTAAATTATACCTGAAGTTTCGACATAGCATAACAACAAATTTGTATTTTGATATGTGGGTATCGACATTATTTTTTCCGATTCCTCAATACATTTTTTTTTCAGATAAATGGTAAAGATGAAACAAAAATTCCTCATGAATATCGTTTTCTCAGAGATAATAAAAAACAGATATCAAAAAAATAATTGGATCATTCAATTTAGTAGAATATTTTACATTATTTCATTAATTATCATTTCAAGCTATTTTCATTCTATTTACGTGCTTAGATTTTCACAGGACAAAATGATTTCATTTTCCATAGATATTCATAATGAACGAGAAGCGAGTTAAAAACCACAACTCAAATTTTAGCCCGATTGACATCAGGGCCATTCAATTATAATCACGCTCAGTATAATTCAATGAAAAGAAGTTTAAAATAATCTTCACTAGATCCAGACATCGTGAAAACCATGCAATCTCTCTCATTTCACCGAATATCTTCTCCTGTCATTTTGTAGGAAATAATTATGATATACCCGAAATGAAATGGAAATTGCAATTTGGCATTAAGACTTCGAGCGCATATCTTGAACCTTCCAACATTTCAGAGCAATTACATCTCCAATCTTCTTTAACGTTTAATCTCCAAGCTTTTAATTGCATTACTCTTCCATTTTCTGAGCAATATCAGTTACTGTCTATATCTCTTTTATACTAATTGGAATATCAGGAAATTTCAGAACATTAACTGAGCTCTGTGGATTGCAATGGGTTTGTGTCGAGAAATATTTACATATGTAACAGTTTCGAGATGAGAACAGTTTCAAATACAAAACTCGAGAATTTCTGAACAATGGACTGATGATGGACACAAAAACATTACCTTTTTAAGTGAGAAAAAATAAAGCAAAAATGAAAATTATATGAATTGAAGGGGTTATATTTTTTAGGAGTGTCTGAAAGTTACTTCTTTGCATGATCTACACATCCATGTATAGAGTGACTTCCTTCTTTTCTTTGGTAGACTCCCTCATTCTTCTTTTTTTGTATCAAAATGGAGTAGTAGAAAGCCAAAAACTTTCTGAAAATTATAATTACTATCCGTGTTTTCCAAATATTTTTCTTTGGAAGTTCAGAGACAAAAATTTATTGAAATAATTGGATTGAGTAGTGGAAGTTTCTGCTTTTAATAATATTCTGAATCGTACTAGCTTAGACAGAAATTATGATCGCAAAATCTCAATTAGAAGTTGATTGAATCTATAGATGATTACAATTCAAGTTAATATTCTACAAAACGATATTTTCAAATCATGCTTTCAATTCTAGAAAAAAATTTTGACAGAAGAATTAGAAAACTATATTTTTCTTACACATTCTTTCTGGGAAATAATTGGGAATACTTCATAGAGTTTTATCGTGACAGCCGTCACACAGAGAGAATATTTCAAATTATACATTAAATGTATCAATATATCGTTACAAGTTTTCTAGTATAACTCTTATTGAAATAGTTCTAATTTTATATTCCGTTTATAATTTTGACGCATATTTCAATCGACATTCAGAGTATAAATTTCACTAGTTCGGACTTCCATTGTCTAATATATTAAATGATTTGAAATTCCTNACTCCCTCAGTACAACACTTACTGAAGTTTTACTTCAACATGTGTTCAAAATGTTGGCCTGCTGCTTCCATATACTGATGAAGGTTTTGTTCAAAGCGCTTACGGGTATTTTGAAGCATTTTAGGTGTGATATTGCATCAGTTCTCAATAACTGACATTGGTTTAGTTTCATAGATTGTTGTTTCTAGGTGATCCTACAAAAAAGCAGATTCAAATCTGGTGATATTGTGGGCCACTCCACTGATCCTCTTTGGCCGATCCATCTACTGGAAAAGGGTTCATTCGAATACTCCTGAACACCAAGAAAATGAGGAGGTAACCCATCTTATTGAAATGTAATTAATTTGCATTGGAGTGGTTATTAGATTAGAGAATGTATGTTATGCCGGATCCACAGTGTCTTCTAACAATCACACGTATATTTTCCTCTCGTATGCTATAAATTCTAGCTCATGCATTCAACTTCGGATGGCATAAAACGATGACATGAAACGAACACTCATCTGAGAAATGAATGTACAACAATCAATTAGTATTATTTAATATCCGTTCACTCATTCACTTGCAAAATTTCAACGTCTTGATTCAATTGGTGCACAAATTCATGGGATTACAAAATTCTTTGATACTCATGCCAGCTGAATGGAATTCTGGATACCTTTGAAGAAGGATCGATAGAAACTGCGTTTGGTTTTTTATTACCAGCATCAAACTCCAGAGTAGATAATACTAAATTGTAATTGGCCAGTGAAGAAATTCTTGAAGTAAAATTGGAACGTTAGTTCATTGCCAGATATTCGAATGAAGTTTTTTCAAAAAAATTGGAAAGAGAAGCTGATGGCGTTTTAAATGATGCTAATGCACCTGATCCCACTTGAGATTCAAGGGTTGGATATCATACCGTCGAGGAAGTGGAAGTATACATAACCTGTGTTATAGTAAATAAATAATTTTTTAGATCATTGAAAATAAAATATGTCTGACAGTGATAATTTAGAAAGTGAAAGTCTTTTGCAGCCCCCTACACAGAAAACAAAATAACACTACTACACACTATCAGGTCATCAGTAAGTTATTTATATTTTATTATTAAATAATAAATGAATATTTTCCGGAGTAAAACCATCAGGCACCTGTTAACTGAAGGTTCATCACAATTAACTTCCTATATATGAAAAGCTGAAATTAATTCTTTTCGTCCGTACGACCCCCGATAGATAGATTTCAGAGTACTAGCTTCTGTTCAGTGCCGGGAGGGTTCAGTGCCGAGAGGTGTCTGTGCCACCTGCAGACAAAGTCTGAAGAATGTTAAAAATATTTCGTGTGTACGTGTTTACCTACAAAATCGTATAAAAGTGTATAGAAATGTTTTGTCCTTGCCGAGGAAGGATCATATAGAAACTGTTGTTAACATAGAGGTTACGTTCCTAGGCAGACACATTGTGACAAAAATTTAATAAATTGTAACGAATACCATTGACAGCGTATCAATAAGACTGACGCACAATTTAGAGTAATGTTAACATTACTCAATATTTTGATTCAGGAAGTTAATAAAAAAATCTTTCGCTCAAGCCAAGCAAAATCAACGTTGCTTGTAATATAAAACATTAAATACTAGCAAGTAAATCTGAATAGTTCCACGCTGCTGATCTGTCTAGTACGTAATAAAATTGACTAACATGTTGGGGTTATGCTGTTAAATTTTGAAACCCAGCGACTTTAGTTCTCAATGAACGTTGGCATCGAAAGTGAAAATGATTTCAATCTTTATTAAAAAAAATTGAGGATGATAACCTCACTTTGAGGTTGAAGGTTTTGCGAAAGTTTTTGGTTCAAAACTTGTATTCGCTACAAACAAACTCAAAATGTTTTAGCATTTTTGTATAAAGTACAGTTTTGATCTTGCGGTTCGTTTTTGATGAGTCACTATTCATTACACTATTCATTGACAAAATATCCGTTTAATTGACATAACGTGCATCTGGAGGCTCGGAAAACTTGGGATATAACATACATTGTCACTGTGGTTATTGATCCTGTAAGGTAACATTTGTTTGCTCACCTCAGCGGGGGGATCCGCATGAACTACGCAGTCCAGCTTAGCTTCTAGGCCTTCTCCTGAATTTACCCACGACCTTATAACGCTAACTTCAGGAGGATCTGGAAAACAGTGAGTTACACATACACGTTCACAGGTTTTGTCGCGGATACTAACATAGAACATGAAGCTTCATCTCACCAGTGACAGGCTGGCCAATTCCGTTTGAAGCAGTGCACTGGTAAATGCCACCATCTTGTCTTTGAACTTCGTTTAAATTCAAAAGATAACCAGTTTCAACTTGATGGCCTGAAGGTAACAGTCCATCCTTAAAAAAAGGAGGTATTTAAACAAAACAACAAATATATAAATAACCAAAAGATAAAAGTGAACCACTCCATTTGCCTCTAGTTTGACTAGCTCTTATAGTGAAGTGAGTCTGTAATAGTTGCTCAAGACATCTCACTATTCGGTCAGGTACCGAAAGGTATCTGGGCGAGTTCACGATGAGCTAGCTCATGTTGTATCAAATGCGTTGCAATGTTTGATCCAGGCCATAGAGAAACTACGCTTATACTGCAATGAGTACTGCGTTATACATCCATCGATGAGCAGGTTCTTCTTGCAAACAGTCACAACTCTCTTTGACCCACTTTGCTCATATGTCCGATAAAATAGTGGATCAACAGAAAAAACTATTCGTGCATATAAGATGCCGGTAAACAACTTATAGCAAGAATTCAAGCATATCATCGGTAGATGATTTTATGGAATAGAGAAATCTTCGTTGATGTTGAGATAAATATCTTTCCAGACGAATTCCACCAGATCAAATGTTGATAGGTTATCTACTATACGTGGAGGCTCTTGAAATAAGCAAACATTTTCTGTGATACTCCTCGCTTGCCTTATTATTGTCTTCTTAGTAGCCGTTTCCTATCCGTTTCCTATTAGACAATGCTGCTTGGTAGGTAATTATTTCTGAGGAGAATATATATATATGAATAGAACTTGAGACTGAAACTTGAAAATAAATGAATATTTTCCGAAGATGTGCATATGACATGCTCAAGTTTAGGTGAAAACACCTTAACCCTTGCCTCTCATGTGAACCTGAGATTTTGTATATATAGGTACGTGTGGCAGATACCCGACGGAAAAACAACTAACCCAGCGCTAATGTCGCGCAGAGAGCTGGAGTAAAACCATCAGGCACCTGTGCAACTGAAGGTTCATCACAATCAACTTCCTATATATATGAAAAGCTGAAATCAATTATTTTCGTCCGTACGACTCCCGATAGATAGATTTCAGAGTACTAGCTCCTGTTCAGTACCGGAAGGGTTACTTCAGACGGAGGGAACCGTTTGAATATCCAGAACAAACAAATTTAATTTCAACTGGTCATAAGTCCTATCTGATTCAGTACGATTTACTACTGCGCCACCTGCAGACAAAGTCTGAAAACAACTACAGGAACAAATTCTTTGAGTTGGGAGTCAGAATGTTAAAACTATTTCGGAGAGGTGCATATGGTATGCTCAAGTTCAGGTGAAAACAATTTATCTTTGCCTCTCATGTAAACCTATGACTTTGTAGGAAGTTGTGTACCTACAAAATCGTATGAAAGTGTATAAAAATGTTTTGTCCTCGCCGTGGAAGTATCATATAGAAACAGTTGTTAACATACAGGTTACGTTCCTAGGCAGACACATTGTGACTAAAATTGAATACATTGTAAGGAATCTGAAGCCGGCCTTGACCGATATCTCAGCCAGCGAGTAAACATCACCACGAAAGAAGCAGTCTGCCGGGAAAATACTAGGCGAGTACAGAGACCACTAGATAAATCTAGAGATCGTTACCGATATATAAGCCCTGCTTCCCGTCCAGAGATTGAGTCTGTATTCAGAAAGCGAATCAAGCGGTTAAACAAAGAATTCCAACAGTGAAGATAAATTAAGCGTCAGTTGCTAAGTGTTGAATATAAATTAGTTTTGATAGTGAAATATTGTTAAAAATAAATTTGTTTAAGACAGTTAATTCTTTAATTTGTTTAAGACAGTTAATTCTTTAATTCGTTACAGCATGTTTTTTTGTTATGAAGTGATCACAAGATTATTTTGTGCATTTCTTATGTATTTTTTCTTTCGGTTATACATGATAATTTGATCTCATTTTCAGATTCTGATTTTGCATAAGACAATTTTAGTTTCGTTTTGATCATAATGGCGATTGTCGTGTCTTCAAGGGACACGAATCTTGACTATGTAGAAGGAAAAGTGTGCAGACAATTTGTCTTGTATAACTTTCTTGTTAGTTCTATTCAAATCGGTTTTGAAAACGGCTTTGTGAAGGAAATGTGGGGTGTATTTAAAGAAATTAATGCGAAAGTTGAAATTATAATATTGTGTAATATATCTGTAATACATCATCGATGTCTGTTATCGTATTCATAGGTTTTTACTTTTAATAATATAAATCATTTCTTCAATAACTTTTTGGAAGGCTAATATTTCTGTATCCGCAACTATGGAAATGCCTTGAGAGAGTTACTATTTCTGATGATCTGGCATTTGTGTATCCAATGCACTCCTTCAAGCAATGATTCCTTATATGGTGTGGGATTGTACAATTGCCTAACAGATAGTTTCGTGCAGTGGAACATCATAATATCATTTTAGGCATTTCAAATTATCAATTATTCGCCCTGAATTTCCATTAGATAATCTATTTGCTGATCCCATTTCAGATATGTGACGGAATCGATGATACACATCGAACCACGTGTTGCGTTTTTGTGAAACTTTTCAGTGAAAATCTCACAATGAGGTGTTTCCTAAATATCCATTTTTTAATGATAATCAATGACAATTCCCATGTAATTCATGATGGCCGCTGATGATGTTTCTACAGTTTGTCCTTGATGATGATAGTTGACTCGTCATATGATGGTGGATCTGATAGGTAACTTGTAAAGAACTAGGGGCTTTTATTATTTCAAAGTTATTTGTAATAATTTTGTAGATTAGGTAGTCTGTAGCTATTTTCACACTTTTTTAACACTTTTTTGGACTTTTCAAACGTAATTACTGAACAAAATGGGCGGTATCATTTGCAAATGTGATAATTTTTCAGGAAATTAGTCTCAAAATCGTGCTGGGCGGAATTTCAAACTGAATAATCTGTGGGAAACTGACTATTCCGTCCATAATTGAATCATTTCAGGTAGGATGAGATATTTGAATAATCAGTATATGCCGATCGATGTCGAAGCTTTAGCTTCGCGATGGACCGCCTTGGGGAGCCTCGTTTATCTTTGATAATCATAGATTTAGTCTCATATATGACGTCTCTGTGAGGAGATATATCTTGGCTTTTTGTTATTTAACACCATTTGAGTTTTTATATTTTCAAAATAAATCTTTCTGAACAGGCTCACATCAACCAAGTTGTTTGAATACGAAATCTTACCTTTTTTGACCATTGAACAGTAGGTGTGGGATTTCCATTTGTTTTACACTCAAACGATACTGGACCTCCTTTTCTTGTAACTACTTGTCCATTTGGAGGAAGAATCTGAAGACTGGGAGGCACTGAAACGAAAAAAAAAAATGAGTTACATATTGATCCAACCTGTGGTTTCACGACTCATAAAGTAACCATATATCATTTTATTTCAATTATTACAAATTTCTACTAAGGTCAAATGAACCACCAAAGATAAGATAGTTTTTTCTCGAAAATCATTAATCATAGGACATATCTATAGGACGTCTTAGTGAATGTTCAGTGAAATTTTTGAAACTTTTTCTAACAATGCAAATTCAATTCATCAGGTGAAATTATTAAATTGCAATAAGATATAATTTTTTCTTACAGGAAGTCATTCATTCACCGTTATTAAACTTGTTTTCATGAAATGTCATTAATTAACATACTCACATATTGATTTTTTTCTAGAAATAATTTTGTATTGATTATGTAATCTACTTGTTTTAGTCAGAATTGATCATCTATCTCATTAATTTTGATATTGAATGCCAATATTTTACCTGTTTGCCAGAGATAAAATTGTTTGTACCTAATTATTTATTCAAAATCTGTTTTACCAAATTCAATCGATTATCTAATACCTAACTAAGTGTTGTCATTAACTACTGTTAAATAAGAAATATTGTGGAATAGTTTGATGCACCAGTAACTGGTACTGACAGTGAGATTAAAAATGTAGGCATATATGCTCTGGTAGCCGTACGAAGCAGGGGCGGGTTGCTAGTTCATTATATAAACAAATATTGATAACAAACTTCTGAATTTAGATATTATGTAAATAACTATATTGATGGATTCTGCCGTTGTTAACAGCTTAGGATCAAAATACCCTTTTATGAGTACTGTAACTTTCAGTCATCGACTATTGTCTTGTTAATTTAGGTTTCATAGCCCTAGAGAGAGCTATCTACTTTGGGCTCATTGGCAAAATTTGAAATGAAGAGCGAGTACCTTCATTTATTAAATTCGAGTTTATACTCGATGCCTCAAATGTATAATTTAGCAAAAAACTGTATTTCTTTCAGAATAACTCAAATTTATAGACTGGAGTTTTAATAAATACACATTATAGTTATACTTTACGTTCAACTGGGAGATTATGATTCATTTCGAAAAGATGGCAATTTTTTGTGAAAATATAAAAATGCTCTTTTAACTTCCAGTTCAATTTTATTAAAAGCTGAGTAATTTGAAGTAGCCAAACTCCTAGAGTATATGACAAGAACATGAATAAAATGTATTGTAGAGTGAAACGATTATTTTCAATTGGGGTAGTAATTACAGGGTGCTTTCTAAATTTTTTCGTCGCTGATAAAAATAAGGGACCAATATTATTTCCGTCATAACTCGCATAGTTTTAATGTGAGGGAATTTCTCAAGAAACAAAAATGAAAGTTTCTACAACACTTTAGAAAAGATTTCACGATTTTTTTTCCAAATCATGCATTGTTTTTTGATTACTTCATGTTGGAACTTTCAGTTGAGGCGTTTGATGAATACAAATCTACCTTTAACAAGCTATTACTCTGTTTGTATTGAGTCTACAGACACAAGCTGAATTTTGAAATGGAAACGTGGGTTTATCCACGCTATTCCTAGCCTATCCCTTCGAATGAAAGGTGTGAATTCAACAAAGACAGAGAAACAGTCAAGCGTTGTGTCTTGTCTCCTCGGATCCTTTGAGAAAATATAGTTTTTTTTAATAGATTTTTTGATCACTAGTACATTGCATTTTGGAATTCTTGGTGCACGGCGAAAATAGGACATCCACTCAGTAATTTAGTATACTGGAGATCAGCGACTTGGTTTTGAGGATTTGAGGATTATTGCAGATATAAATCATCATAATAGGAATTAGTCTGATGTTCCAATTGGTACCAATCCTTTTCAAGGATTTAGGCACTGAACTCTACTTATCATTCTTGGAAACCCATTTTTTCAGTTTTCATTTCCTTGAATGCACTACAAGTCACTTTAGATTTATTGGGAAACAATATGTAGGTAGACTGCCTGTGTGGAACAGAAAGACGCTTCAAATCCTGCCAAGCTAAGAATCGAAGTTTTGTCGTAGGATCGGTATTCGTGGGGACTATTTTGCCTTTTTTTAACAATGGTACAAAAAGGATACGTCCGGTAAGCGAGTATTTCTCCATTGTTTATCTGTTTCTGCCGCTGGGATTGCTGGTACGATACTGCAATAACTAAGAATACCAGTGCCGGCTATTCATTACTTATATAAATTTTACCATCACATGAATATATGAGACCAAATTTTCTTATAATAATAAGAGTTTCGTTTGGTGAGCCAATTATAGTTATATTTGGAGATTTATATATGAACGATATGCAAATATTCACCAGTTATCAACTTGTATTGGACAAATAATATCAAATAAATCAAATTTTTTCATAGGACATTAATTGTTGATTATTTATGATCGGTTGTTATTTATAATTGTCGATTATATTTTTTTCCCGTTTAGGTAAGTTTCTTGGCAACACAAAACCGTATTAAACGGGTGGCGCCCCTTTATTTTATATATCATTCCTTTTCTTTAGAGTTCAGACGCCTACGCCACTGAGTGAGCAGGTTAGTTTTGGTTCATTGTAGATGGAAGTTCCCAATGAAACTCTAGTAAACTAGCATTGGAATTGACCCCGTAATAGGTGATAATATCTTCAAATTACTTGATACCTATTGTTGTAGTTTCAGTAGTCAGTTTAGCGTCAGACACCGCAGCGATTACAAACGAAGTAAATTAGACAAATACGCAAAATAGTAGAGTCGTGTAATTCAAATAGTAACTACTGGTGATATCAAGTTGTATTTGAATTGAATTTGCTCCATTAAACATATGTCTGTCCGATACAATTCGAAGCACGTAGTGGAGTTAGCCAGGGAAGTAATTGGGCAGTACGCATTTGCCAAATTCTAATGTGTAACATTTTGAGGAGTGAAAGTTACGAATTTTTCTCGAAAAATTAACTTTCTTGGAGAAACTTTTGCCATTGACAGAGGTATAATTATTATATGTGGGATATTTCAAAGAGTAATTTCAAATCATTTGTTCGTTTATATTCTCAACGTGAATTTTATTCAGATAACTGTAGACGTATTTGTCATTGATAAACATAACCAATGCCTTTGAACACATCCAAATCACATCCCGATCAAATTTTAATTTTTTCTCTTTCGGTATCGCTATTTGATCAGCCATGTTCATCAAAATTAAACAGGTTTGTTGAACGGAATGCCAAACAAACAACCAAATGAGATTGAAAAGCATACCATTCATCATGCCGGGCGTAATTGCAGCCAGTATCACAGACAACAGCAATTAAAAATCGCTTGAAAACAACCCGATAGGATACATAAAAACATCCTCTGGTGATATTCATAAATCAAAACCGATTGGGACACCTAAACCGTACATATTAGTTTTTGATTCATATAAAGCTGCAATTTTGATGTAGCTTCAGAGCATGTTAACTTTGGTTATATAAAAAATTAACAAAGATCTTACGATTTGCCGTGAATTGGTATCTTTAAATATTGAAAATTTATGATGGATGAGTTTTCGTTTCAGCTCAATAAAATGAATGAAAATAATAATAAAAATGTTGGTAACTATATGGTAACATGAATATTTTAGAGTGAACTACCAGGAACAGTTGAGTCTATAATATCCTCCATAGAACGTTAGACGATAATCACATTTGGTACTAGAAAATGCAAATATCTAAAAACCAGCAGAATCTGTGATACTCTCCTTCACGAAGAAGTGAAATCTGTGTGTCAACAACATTCGCAGCGTTGGAGTGATATATCTATGTAATATCCTGAACTTTCACCTGGAACGGTTACTCGGAAGATGTTTCACACAGAGCCAGATTATGCTCAGGAATATGTAGAAGGGTCTGTAGAAAATATCAGGACTTTGATTCCAAAAAAATTCATTGAATATTTGTAATGACAGTCTTACAAATGATCATGTACGAAGCAACTGTCTGGTGGTCAAAGCATCTCAGGCAAAACTCTCTATTGTACATAGACAGGATTGCCTGTATATCTCTTGGTGTTATTTGTACTGTACGTGGCAGGCCAAACTGTGCGTCTCTGAACTCATATCTGTTGAGTGAAAAAATTAGTTGATTAGACCACATCGAGGTTATTGTATAAGTGCTAGATTTTTACCTTAATGCCCGTAGCAACATTTCCATATGAGAAAATCTGTAGGTGACCTATACCTGACTATACTCTAGATTAGGTCATATAGAGCTCTTTCGCGTATGGTTTGAGTGTAAGCGTTTGCTGGCATGACGTTTGTTATGTTTTTTATTGGGATAGCGACGCTCTGCTTCCAAATTATGTTATTGAAAAGCTAAAGTCTGAACCGCTTACGTTCTACTAAGAAACTGGGCTGCTTATATCTTCTAAAACTGTTTTTATTTCGTGAATGTTGTACAATTCCAAATTTAATTATTTGACAATTACGTGACGTTTTTCAATTATTTCAATAAACATTGGCGTTGCAAAAAACATTAAAAAACGGAACAAAATAAATGTTGATTTCTTCAAATTCTCAAACAACGTTTGCCATGTTCACCTCCTTTGTTGTCTCGTATTACCATAACAAGGCTTTTCACGATGAGTGGGCATCTGTTATCTTGACAGTTCCGTTAGTGACAATACACATCCACTGAGTTACAGGCTCTGAAACTGGTCGAAAATACCATCGCGGAGTTGAACCGTAACAGAAAAGTCCATGTAGTCTTATTCGACATTTCGAAGGCTTCGACCGTGTTTGGCACGAAGGCCGTCTACACAAACTAATTGCGTTCGACCTGCCTCGGGGCCTGATCCGGTAGATTGGGTCCTTCCTGAAAGACAGAACATTTCAGGTTAGAGTAGAGGGCTCTCTGTCTGATAAAAAAGAGATCCTCCTGGGGTGCAACAGGGGACCGTGCTCTCTCCCACGCTATATTTGCTTTACACCAGCGACCTTCCGAAGTCCGAGCATGTGAAGGTGTCCCTCTACGC